ACGACGACGACGACGACGACGACGACGACGACGACGACGACGACGACGACGACGACGACGACGACGACGACGACGACGACGACGACGACGACGACGACGACGACGACGACGACGACGGTGCGCCCCAATAGGCGACGACGACATTACGACGACGACGACGACGACGGCACGCCCCAACAGGCTCCCCAAGACGCCCCCCAAACCCATGCTCCCAGAAGGCCTTCTGGGAACCCGATTCATACGGCCTCCGCCCCCTACACAACCATTTTCCTCGAAGGCCGTTCGGAATGCAGATTGGCATGCGTGGACTGTGGTCCACTACTTCAGTGGAGCTGTGAATTCGTCAAGGCCTGTGGCCCGCTAGAACCTGAGCGCGCGCGAAGCGCGAGCGATGGTTCTGGTGTATATATATATATATACGCGCATATTCATTTATTTTTATAGATACGTTATGTGTGTGTATATATAGCCATTTTAGTTTGTTTTTGGGTATTATTTTGGTAGTTTCAGTGCTTCGCCCAAAATCCGCCTGTAGGGGGGACATGGCTGACCTAAGGCTAGCGTTTAGTCGGGCTTGTCCCTCTACAGGAGGAACAATCAGAAACAGTAAAGGAATAGCGCGGGGACGGTGTTCTGACGATTTTAGAATACTTTTTGCGCACTTTTGGGGTATTGCCGATTTCTCGTTCAAAATCTGCCTGCATATGGGGACATGCCCGACCTACGGCTGGTGTCCCGCAATCGGCCGTCCGAGGCCACGCCCGACCCTTCCGGGTGGAGCGATCCGTGCGGGGTCAGAGGCCAGCGCCGAATTGTCACGACCCTCCTCCTCCTCCTCCGCCTCCTCCTCCTCCGCCTCCTCCTCCTCCTCCTCCGCCTCCTCCTCCAGTAACCCAAACCTCCCCCTCCCTCCTGCGCCGGCCCGGGCTGGCTCCCAGAGGGCGTCCAAGCAGCCAGGGGTCCCAGGGCCGCTCCGCGTCGCCGATGCACCAGCGATGCGGCTCGATGCGGATCCCGTTTCGCCTTACGTCGACGTCGCTGGTGCACCGCTGAGGCGTCGCCGATGCATCGCTGAAGCATCGTCGATCCGGCGCGATCCTCCGGCCCCACCTGGTCACCTTCTGCGACCCCATCTGGGAGGCACAGACGACAGCAACACCCGCGCTCCCCCCCCCAACAAAACAAATCCTGGAGAAAGGAGCCAACCATATGGAAACGAACACTGACATAAACATAAAAACTCGGAGGTCCGCGAGGATTTCTCGGATCGGCGCTGGACCCCCCTCCCTGGCGCGCGGAGCGCGCCAGGGGCGGCGCTGGAGGCGCCGCTGGGGGGCCCCAGCGCCGATCCGAGTTTTCATGTCTATGTCATTCTTCGTTCCCCTAAACAAGCCATCAGGAGGAGGAGGAGGATTTTGTCTGGGAGGCCTCTGGTTGGCTCCTGCTCGGCCCTTCCTGCTCCCAGCAGTTTCCCTGAGGTCGGGCCTGTCCCCCCACAGTCGGAAGCTGCGCGAGGGCTGCTAAAGCCGTGGCTGCCAAAGCGGCCCTCCCGGAAGGAAAAAACAGCTTCCCAGAAGGAGGCGCGGCACGCGGAACAGTCAACGGGCCTCTTCCCGGAAGGACGAAGACAACCTCCTGGAGGTCGATTTTAGCAGCTACGGATTTAGCAGCCCTTGCCCGGCTTCCGACACAGGAGGAACATTCAGAAATAGTCAAAACATTCTCCAGGTCTCTCAATAATCGGTGGGGGGGGGTGGATCGCGTGGGGGGGGCCGGAAATCGCTGTCCTTCGGGGGGCGTGGGGAGGTTGAGGAGCGAGAGGGGGTGGGTTTGGGGCGCGTGGGGGGGCGGGCAAGGGGCGTCGGACAGGTTGGCACGTGGGGGGGGGTGCTTATTGAAGGATCTGGAGTAGTCAGAAAATAGTCAGGGGACGATTTTTTTTTGGTATTTCTGGAGTACTTTTTGGGTACTTTTTAATTTTGCGTCCACAGCCACGTGCGCCCGACCTACAGTTTCCCCGGCCGCTCCGGCGGGCGCCTCCGCCCTGGCCCTCCCCCCCCAGGTCCACCTCCCTCGCTCGGGCCGAACGGAAGGGGGGGGGCGTCGGGAAAGGGGGGTTACGAAAGCTGCGGCATGCGGCTGGTCTCGGCCCCACCGAGGGGCCCAGTCCTCGATGCATTGGGCGCCTCCCGGCGCCGGGAGGCGCTGGAGAAATCAGCAACGCGAGCTGATTCTCAACCGCCCTTTGCTATCCCCCCCTTGCGCCCGGCCCGACGGTCGTTTTCCTCCGGTGGCCTTCTGCCCATCCCGCCCCTTGTGCTCGGCTTGTGGGTCAGAGGCCTCCTGGATGTGTACCCAGACCCCCTCGAGTAATTAAAAAGGCATGACGGGAGGTTTTTCTAAATCTTCGGCCTCCTGAGGCCCTCACCAGGCCTCGGGACCGTCCAGAAACGACTCAGGAGGACAAACCGGTCCCGGGGAGTAGGTCGAAACCTCTGGGCGTCGACGTCATGACAAAAATCATGACGTCGGGGGTCTGGCTGCTGGGGTTCGGGGGTGGACAAAGCCCCCGCCCTGACACGTCGATTAGTGAATTGTCCGCTTTCGGTTCCCGAGAGGGCGCCGACGCCGTCGTTTTCCAGGCTGGCGCCCGCCGGGTTCGGGCCCGATGTCGTTTTCATTCGACCACGTCTTACCAAAGGGAGTGCAGTCCATCCCCGAAGGGTGACTTGGGATGCCTCTCCGAAGCCTCTTGGAGCGCTCTTGGGGGCCTTGGCCCTGTTGGGCTGTCTGGGACTCTCGAGGGACCGTCTTGGGCCACCCAGAAGTTACTCCAGGCAGGCTTGGGGCACTCTTGGGCCGCCTGGGGCTCCAGGCGCGTTCTCAGGGCCGGCGCCCTCGAGCGCCCCGGATGGGGGCCCTCCCGGGGCAGTCCTGGGTCGCCTGGGACTCTCTCGTGAGCCCCCGGCCCTTCGAGGCTGTCTTTGGGGGCTGGCTGGCTTCGTGCGGGGATCGGGGAACCCGGGGAAGCACACGAACGACGGAAGCTGGGCGCGAATCCAGACCCCCTCGAGTAATGAAAAAACCATGACTGAAGGTTTTTCTTAATTTTCGGCCTCCGGGGGAAGCACATGTGTAATGCACCGGGAGCCTCGTGACAGGCCAATGCAAACGGGGGTCAGCCAGAGCGCTGGGCGTTGCAGGCTCCTGCTGGGCCAGGGGTGCATCGATCCGGGTTGGCGCGCAGGGTTTTGGGGGATCCTGCAGGATTTTTTGCAGAGCCCGACGGACCCCGATTTGGACTGGCCCCAGGCAGCATGTCCCCGAGTGCAGTGGCGCTGCCGCGCGACTCCGCCCCCGGGCTCGGGCGGGCGCTGGGGCGGTGGTGGGGGGGCATTTGGGATTGGGGTGGGACCAGCAGCCTCTGCACCTGCTGGCTCCGCCCCAAACTGGGGAGAACTGACCGAGAAAGGAGAATGACGGGGCTCTCCCCGAAGGCTGGGCTGGAAGAGACATTGAAGTGCTTTCTCCGAGGTGAGACGAGCTGGCCTTGGTGTGTCGGAACCCCGAAAGGAAGGGCAAGACAAGACAAATAGTATTGCGGATCTTGTTCATCAGATCCCGAGTCCTCTTCCACTTGCTGCGGGGGGGCTGAGACGACCAACGGGGCTGAGTCTTCCTCTTCACGGAGGGCCTCCACCACCGAACGAAACTGGACAGCCTCCACCAGGGCATCCACCGACCGCTGAACCCTGTCCTCTTCCGCAGCGGAGGGACTGTCCGAAGCCGATTTACTAGCCACTGGGACCGCGAAAGCGTCGGGGTCCCGCGCTCGTGTGGGGAACAACTCATCAAACTCTAAAGGACAGTTAGCCATGACATTCGCTCGCTTGGGATGTTGTCCGTTTTGGGCACAGTGCACCACAACCACCCACCGAAACGAGAAGCCTGAGGCTTGCAGAGAACCTTTAGACCGACAAGCCTCCTTCCTGTGTGCACTGTAAGACTTGCAAGCCTGGCAGATCAATCGCACAGAGGAGCTTCTACATTCCAAAGCGATGACATTCTTGCTTATAAGATCGATGGGCAAGCCCCTGACTCCAGGGCAGACAGCGTGCTTAGGCCGAGAGGTCCACTGCTTCCTCTCGACTCTAAGACAAACCAGACGTTTCCAAAAGTGCCGAAATGACGCCAGACATGAGGGTGACCAGGGAGCCTCAGTAGAGGAGGTGGTCTGACGTATTCGACCTTACCGAACTCGTGAGATATTTGAAGTGTGGCAACAGATTCATCTTCAGGAAACAGAATCATCTGGCATATTCTATGTTTTAATCCAGTATGGCCGCATCGTCAGGGTCTGGAGAGGGGTGCTTCCCACTTCGCAGTCGAATCAGCCGCGTCGTTGCCCCCCCTCCAAAACCTCAAAGTGTCCGACATGTATTCTTCCCACAAACTCCGGTGAGATCTGACGTGGTGGGCATTCGACATTTGGCCAAACAAGCTCTCACCCCTCGCTTGCAGAATATGCCCATAATCAATACTCTTTTGAGATAGCTGCTCTGATCGAGGGAGCTGGAAGTTTTTGCACACGTTTTCGCAATCGGAGATGATCTCACTAGGACCCCCTATAGCCTGGCAGGCCGCGAGAAAACTGCAACACTCGCAAACAACTCTTGGTGCCATCTAGCGTCTTGGGCGGTGTTGGAGCTCTCTTGGGCTGCATTTGGCTCCTGCCTCTGAGGTCCACTTGGGCCCCTCTTGGGGCAGTCCTGCGTCATCTTGGGACACTCTTGGAGCCCGCTTGGGGCCCTTTCGGACGCTTTGTAGATTATCCGAGGCCCCTATGGAGGTACCAGCAGCTGAAAACATTGGACTCCAACAATCCGTTGCCATTTTGGCTCAAGTGGTCATGATATACTATAGTGAGCTCTGCGCAATGGTGTTCCAAGACGCTTCATTGCCCTGTGGATCGCACGCATCCATCGGGAGAACACTGACTTATGTCGGAGTCCAATAGGGATATGCCTAAAGAGGACTCCGATATTTGGCTCACCGATGTTTGGAACGCAGGTCTGGTTGTGGATTGTAGTGGCATCCGCGATTCCCAGGACAATCCCGCATGTTTCGCCCATATGTGTGGGATCATGTGTCGATACCAATACGGTTGCGAAGATATAGGACTTAGTGATCACGATTTGCAGAAGCGGAGTCACAAAGTGGAGTGCAAAAGCGAAGGCAGCCGCTTCTCCAAACGAGGATTTTGCAAAGGCTCGCACGCCATTGAGGAACAAAGAGTTGTAGCGTTTCGTAGGTTGCATGAAGAGAAGCTGAAGCATGCAGCGGCACTAGCGGCTGAGCGGGATAAGTTAAGACGCAGTTGTCGAGATAATAATTCCAGAGTGGAATTAATGCAGCCACAGGAGCTCCCTATTTGGGTCCGCCCTCTTAGACAGGAATTGGTTTCCAGCTACGACGCGGCTAGGTACAATCTGCCGGAGCTAGCGGCATCGGTGTTGGAGTTGGACAAATTCGGTGGTGCGGTGGCTCTTGAAAGGTTACATGAAGATGATATCTACGAATACCAGAAGAGAGAGATGGCCCATGTTACAGAACAGTCTTCTCCGGATTGTGACATCGATCCAACAGTTACGATCATCCACAACCGCAAAATCCCGTTGAATATCAAATTAGTCCACGCTTACATGCTCGCGGGTAGAAGGATCCCGGAAGCCTGGAAAAAGGCATTGATGCGCGAGGAACGGATTTTCAAGCGATTGAAGAGCTCTCCGAAATGGCACGCGTTCTTAGAAGCCTACGAAAAGTTTTGCCAGCACGAAATACTTCCTCTGTGTTGCGGGACGGATCCGGATATTCAAAAATACGGCATGGTGATTCAGTATCCGCCAACGTTGAGGATCCATATGCCAGGGAAAGCGCCCTCGATCAAAATGCATGTTGACACAGATTACGCGAATCATCAGGAGTGCGAGTGCAATTTCTGGGTGCCTTTGACCAAAGTTTTTGGCAACAACACGCTCTGGGCAGAGTCGGAGGCGATGAAAGGCGACTTCCGGCCTTTTGAAATGGAACCTGGACAGCTGCTAAGATTCGAAGGCGTCAAATGTCGGCACTACACGATGGCGAACGACACGGCCGTGACGAGGGTGTCGTTCGATCTACGATCGGTGCCGGCGACGCTGTGGCGCGATCTGCACGGTGGGAAAATCGGAGATTACGGGACTAAATTGGTGCTGCCAGCGTGGGTGGGAAGCCGTGGGTGAGAGCGTGTTGCAGCGACCCTCAATTGAGTCGGTCACAGCTACGACTTGCCCCAGAGATGATACAATGGAGACCCATGCCAAGAAACACCCTGCTTGCCTCCAGGGTGCCTTGGGTTTCTTGGGTTTCAATGGTTTTGTGATTGAAAGCGTAGAGTTGCCACACCAGAAATCAATGGACGTCCTGGGGTCTCAGGGTTGGGTTTCTTATGAAGGTTTCTTGTGGACGGGCCCCTGTACGACCTGCCCCAGAGATGACAATCCTCGCAAGCGTGTCGGCCTTCCTGATAAACATCCCGCTGCCTGCGGCAAACTCCGCCGCCGCGCCAGCGCAGCAGCGCCGCGTGGAGGAGGTTGATCTTGGAGCTAGGAGGAGGAGGAGGAGGAGGAGGAGGAGGAGGAGGAGGGGGAGGAGGAGGAGGAGGAGGAGGAGGAGGAGGGGGAGGAGGAGGAGGAGGAGGAGGAGGAGGAGGAGGAGGAGTAGGGAGGACCGTTTGGGTGGCCTTTGGTGGTCTGTCGGGGGGACCTCTGGGAGGTCGCTTGGGGTTCTCTTGGGAGCGTCTCGGACCCCCCTGGGGGCCTCTGCCAAGAATGTTGGGGGTCTTGGAGGCAATCCCGTAGGCAAAGGCTGTCAAGGCCAGCTCGATTTCCCCCCCAGAAGGCCCCTCTTGGGTCCCCTTCGGGGCATCTTGGCCCCCTTGGTGCCCCCTTGGGCCGTCTGGAGGGCCTCTTGGGCCGTGTTGGAGCCCCTTGGACCGTCTTGGGGCTCTTGCGACCCTGTTCGGCTGTTTTGCAACCCTCTTGGGGACACTTTGGGTCGTCTTTGCCTGTGGGGGGAGGGCAATCATATTTAAATCTGCCAGGTCGAAAGGAAAACCTACCTTTTTTTGCTATCGAGGTCCTCTTGATGGGCCGTCTTGCAGGCCTTTAGGGCCATCTTGAGCCCATCTTGGGCCGTCTTGTGGCCCTCTCGGAGCGTCTGGAGCCTTTTCGGGCAGTCTTGGGACCGCCGTGGAGGCCTTTTGACCGTCTCGGGGCGAGCTCGGCTGTCTTGTTTTGTTTTCCTCCCTGGTTTGGTTGTTTTGGGGAGTTTTTTGTCTTTCCCGAGTATCCTGTGGTGTTGGGCCCTCGTTTTGGAGAGAGCCCCCCGCGTTCCTACTCCTCCTCACCTCTCCCTCTCCTCCGCTCTCCCACGCTTGCCTCTGCTCTTTCCATGTCCATGTCAAGCACACCCCTCACGTGCTTCGTGGCTCCGTAGGACGCTCCACCGACGGCTCCAGCGGCAGCGCCCGCATGGCAGCGCCGCACCCGTTTCGGCCCAACCCCTCACACGTTTCGCGGCCACATCGGGAGGTCCACCCAAGGCTCCAGCGGCAGCGCCCGCACGGCAGCGCTGCACCCATTTCGGCACACCCTCGCACGTTTCGTGGCCCCACAGGACGCTCCACCGACGGCTCCAGCAGCAGCGCCCCCATGGCAGCGCCGCACCCGTCTCGACACACCCCTCACACGTTTCGTGGCCCCATAGGGCGCTCCACCGAATGCCCCAGTGGCAGCGCCCGCGTGGCAGCGCAGCACACCCTCGCACGCTGCTCGGGCCAGGCCAGATCAGGACAAATGGCTCCAGAGCTTTCCAGAGCGCTCTCGGAGCTTTCCAGACTCCTTTGGAGCGACCGCGCGCTGCGCCCGATGCATCCTCCAGAGCCGCCAGATCTCAGAGACCATCGATTCGCCCGGGTTCGATTTTGTTCGGTCTTGGCGCCGTCTCAGTTGGGGGGCTATGTTCAGGGGGGATATCCTGGCTTGTGCCATGATCCGTGGAGAGTCACGACCAGAGCTCTAGACCCACCTGTTCTGCGCCATTCTTCGGGCTGCGTCGCTCTGTGAGGGTCTCGCGGGGCCGGAAGCCGTGCGACAACGCCCGTTGAGAAAGAAGCGGTGCCCAGATTCAAGCAGTGGCGAAGCGTCTGGGCTCGCCTACAGGCCTGCCAAACAATGTTCTAAGAACCTTTCGTGGTCTGCACGAAATGCTCTTAGAACATTTCTGGCCGGGGCTGTCTTGTTTTTAACTTATCGGGCTTATGTTCTAAGTACATTGTTTTTGTTATTAGAACAGTTTCGGGTCCCCAAGAACATGTCGTGGTAGGCCTATAGAAATGCCGGGACGGTCGGTCCCTGCTGAACAGATCTCAGGGCAGGCCCGGCCCGGCCCGCCGGCCGGGCGTCTCCGGCTCGCCCGCCCGCCCGAGGAGCGGTACAGGTCCGTCACGCGGAGCTACTACCGCGGGGCTGCGGGGGTGCCCGCGCGGTGGGGCCGCGCTCCCGCGAGAGCGCGCGGAGGGAGGGCGGCCGACGTGGAGGTCAGGAGGGCGCGAAGACACGGACGCACATAAGCGTCGACTCCCCAGAGAGTGTGGGAGAATGTGGGGAGTGGGGGGGAAGACGAGGATATCAAGCAGATGTGAGAGCATGTGGGGAATTCTCAGACTTGTGTGCATGTATTAGTGTGTCCCTGGGCTCGTGAGGCTGGGCGGGGAGGGGATGTTCTGGGCATTCCGATCGGCGACTACAATGGGTATGGTTACGCCAGAGTGTGGTTTGTGATTTGCGCCGTTGGGGATTGGGGGGCGCCACGTTGCCCCCGTCGGGTCTCCTGGGGGCGCGGCGGGGAGCTCTGTCGAGGTCGTGGCCCACCTCCCAGGGTGCGGGTTGCAAACCGCACCCTTTGCAAACCACACCCGTCGGAGTCGCCAATCCTAATGGGGTCCGAGTTGACGGGGTCGAAGGATCGCGACGCATGGCCGATGAAAAGGGGCTGCAACTCGATCTGGAGCCAGACTTTCTCTCCACGCTGGCGTCGCCGATGCATCTCGGACGTCGCCGGTGCATCGTCTGTGCATCGCCGATGCATCGGCGATGCATCGGCGATGCAGCGCGATCCACCGGCCCGTATCTACTCGGACCCCATTGCGGAGGCCTCGGACGACGAGGAGCAGCAAGGGTCGAGGAGGAAGAGGACGAGGAGGGGAGAGGATGAAGAGGAGCACCGAGGATGGCGGCCGACGGAGACAGGAGGTGCCAGCCCAGCTTCGCACGCCACCCTCGTGGCCTCCTTCCCGGCGGTTTTTCATGCGCCGCTGTCTTTGCTGTTCAGTCGGGCGCACAAAAAGTCAGTTCTTTCTCTCCACGGCCTCTGGCTGAGTCGTCCCGCGACATATTTTTCGTCTTGACCTCTATGAGATTATCCGTCCTGCGTGCGCCCTCCAGACTGCACAGATCTTCCCTATGGTCCAGCAGCGCCGGTTGGGGACCAGCCTCTTGCTCGACCGCGGATAGGCAATCGCCGTCCCGAGTCAGCATGCCGCGGTCTAGGCGAACCGCCATCGGTTGTGTTGCCGCTTGAGAGCTTGGATCGCCTCTCGCTGCTCCAGCCTCGTCGTGCCCTCCAGGCATTGGTCTAGGCCAAGCAGGTCTTAATCTGCGCGGGCATCTCCGCCCAACCACCTTCGCCTTCCGCCTTCTGCGCCTACGGGGCCTTCAGCGCCTGTGCCCTTGTGCCGCCTCTCCTGTTTTTGGCACATGTGTCCGTCCCCCAATCGGCCTCATTTGGATTGGGCCTCGTGCCCGCTGGTCATCCCACGGCTTCGCTGCCCGTCGGCGCCCCGTCAGCGCTTTTGGCCGCCATTGTGAATACCGTCCAGCAGTGCAGTCTTCTGTTCAAGCTATCGCGCGGCCCTGGAGCAGCCCCCAGCTGAACCTGACGGCTTCTGTTTCCCAAGTGAACCTAGCTGGGCTCCCCCCCCCCAATTTTCGTGGCCTGAGACAGTGGACGTCGTTCCCAATACCTATGAGCACTTCCAGTAGCAAGACAGAATCAATGATTTCAGACTCGACAGTCGCATGGCGCAATCGCTTCAAATCACTATCACGTCCTCAGTCTGTACCAGCGAGGGCGCCACCCCCCCGGCAGGCGCCCTGAGCCAACCATAACAGCGGCAGGCATGGTTGTCACATGCGCGCAAACATGATACAAGACAACAGATACAGTAGATCTGATTTTTCATGGCAGTCTGCTGCGCAATATTGCTACTGCTGCTGATGATGATCAGCCGCTGCAGCATCACCATCGTTAACATCATCATCGTCATACTCATCATCATTTTCATAATCATCATCGTCATCATAATGATCATCATCAGCATCATCATCAGTAGCATCATCATCAGCAGCATCATCATCACAACCCTCTTCACCACCGTCTTCACCATCATCACCATCACCATCACCATCACCATCATCACCACCATCACCATCACCATCACCATCACCATCACCATCACCATCACCATCACCATCACCATCACCATCACCATCACCATCACCATCACCATCACCATCACCACCACCATCACCATCACCATCACCATCACCATCACCATCACCATCACCATCACCATCACCATCACCATCACCATCACCATCACCATCACCATCACCATCACCATCACCATCACCATCACCATCACCATCACCATCACCATCACCATCACCATCACCATCACCATCACCATCACCATCACCATCACCATCGTATCGTCGTCGTCGTCGTCGTCGTCGTCGTTGTCGCTCTCTTCCTCCTCCTCCTCCTTCTCCTCCATCCCCTCCCCCCCCCCTCCCCCCCCCTCCTCCCCCCCTCCTCCTCCCCTTCCTTCATCCCTTCTTCCCCCCCCCTCCCCCCCCCCCTCTCCCCCCCTCCTCCTCCCCTCCTCCTCTTGGGCAGCTCCGCCGCCGCCCGCCGAGGCGCTGATCGTCTACGACATCACGAACCAGGACTCCTACAACCACCTCATCAACTGGCTGGCGGACGCCAGGCCCCGGCGACGCGAGGGAGGCTGGGCGGAGGGAGGGCGAGGAGGCAGGACGAGGAGTCCTCCGTGGGTCCCCTCCTCCGCCCCTCGTGCCCCAGGCTTCTCTTCCCCGCCTCCCCCCTTCGTCCCCCCCCCTTCTCCTTCGCAGGCCTCGAGGTTGGCACCAGCACCAATATCTGCGGCGTGCCTCCACCGAGGGAAGAAGATCCCGGTCTCCGTGATGGTGGTCATATTCTGGCTTCCAAGGTGGTCGAACTATTACCACCAACACCGAAATCTTGGATCATCTTCCCCCTTGTGGAGGCAACCCCCTGTGCTGGGGTTGGTGTCGATTTCCAGGCCTCCAGCTCCTGCCCTGCGGCTGCGCAGACGGCCCCTGCCTGTCAGGGCAGGGCTCGCCTGGCCGGGGGTGCGAGCGGGAGCATCCTGGAGGAGGAGGAGGAGGAGGAGGAGGAGGAGGAGGAGGAGGAGGAGGAGGGTGGGGAGGGAGTGCCCTTGGCACCGCTCGGACGTGTGCGCCTCTTCCCCGGGCCGTCGAGGCGAGCGCGACGCCGAACAGAAGGCACGGGGCGGGGGCGCCGGAGCGAGGGGGCGGCTTGGGGAGGGAGCGGACACGCCCCCGGCTCTGCGGCCGGCGTGGCTGCCCCGGGGCCGCTACCCCGCAGGCGCAGAGGGCTTGCGCGTCCATCTTTCGGGGGGGGGGGCTCTGGGGGGCACCGGCCTTCCCCCCCCCCCCCTCCTTGCCCTACAGGGAGCTTCCCTGGCCCGCCCTCCTCCGCCTTCTGGTTGTCCCTCTTCTCTGTGTCAGTGGGCTTGGGGCTCAAGCGTGCGTCGCGCATCGGGAGGAAGGAGGAAGATGAGGCGCAGGAATATTGATGGGAAGGGGAGGAGGAGAAGGAGGAGGAGGAGGCGGAGGATGAGGAAGAGGAGGAGGAGGAGGAGGAGGTGGAGGAGGAGGAGAAGGAGGAGGAGGAGGAGGAGGAACTGGAGGAGGTGGAGGAGGAGGAGGAGGAGGAGGAGGAGGAGGGGGAGGAGGAGGGGGATGATGAGGAGCTGGAGGAGGCTCGTACACAGTATGACCAGGGCAAGGTTGTCAATATGATCATGATTGCAATTATTCAGGGGGATGGCGTCGATGAGTTTTAGTTAGATTCAGACGATGAAAGAGGGGCGAGAAGGAACAGCATGCGTATGAGTATAGCAATGAACAACATAGATGTTTGATCCTTGATCCTCATCTTCTTTCTCTTCCTCCTCCTCTTCCGGACACCGAAATCCGCTCAAAGTCATTCCCCCGACCCCTGACCCTTCCCGGGGGTCCACCCCAGCAAGTTTTTCGAGCCGCGTCCAGCCGTCGCGACGAGACGCTCCAGACCCTGAACCCTCCCAAACGACGGCGTCGTTTCTCCTCCGCCGGCGTCTCGTCATGTTTCACCCGCGGCTCGCCTCTCAGGGTCAATTCCACCCCGATCGAGCCGATTCGATGCTGATGTTGCCGGGCCCCACCTGGCCTGGTGCTCGCGTGGCGTGGGTGGGCATCTTGGCGTGGCCGATCCGACTCGATTCGGGCTCCGTGCCGCTGCGGCCCGGTTCGATGCACGGTCCGATCCGATCGAATTTTCCGACTCGATGCTGGTCGATCTTGCCTCTGATGTGCCGATTTTTCACCACCTTAACCATAGGTAGGACGGGGGAGAGGGGAGGATGGGGAGGTCCTCCTCCTCCTCCTTGTTCTCCTCATCCTCCTCCTCCTCCTCACTCAAATAGGAGGGATCGCCGCTGTTTGGCCCGAGCGTCGACGCATATCTACGTATTGTATGAAGATTGAAAGCCCCGCAATCTACATCTTATTTGCCGCCATGCTTTCTCTCGTACAGCCTCCAACCTCCGCAATTCTAGGTGGTAGCGGAGCTGGGAACGATCCCAACTCGCGATCCACGGAACATGGGAAAAGTGTGGTGTGGACGCACATTCGCTTTTATCTTCACGTCCGTATCGGTATCACCCTCCATTCTTTGAGTAGTTTGTGCTTATGGCTGTTTTGCAAGCCAACAGGCACTTCGCCTCGGACATCCAGTCCGCCTGCGAGGGCAACAGGAGAAGGCGTAGCCGCGATGAGCGCCACGACGTTTCTCGACACACCGCAACCCCGCAGGCTGGCCGCAGCTTCGCATCGGACATGATTGCGAGGCTCCATCGTGGGCTAGCGCCGTGGCTCGGTACGTGTGCGATAGTGGTGGTTATCCTTGTGAGCACACCGAACCACCCGAGTGGAACACTGCATGTTAATGTGCCCGTTTCACCGACCTCGGCTTCGACCGAAGTTGAGAACGGCATCAGCATGGTTGCCCCGCACTTCAACATGGCGTTCGTCCCTGCGTAGAGCCCCGAGGCGCTTTCGCAACCATCATCTTAGTGCGGTCTTATCGAGGAGGATCTTCATCTTGACGTTTTGTGGCAGCATCCTCGTGTTCTCAGTGGCCGTCCTGTTCTGGCCCACCGGCATGGTGCATGGTGGAGCGGGCCCACGGCGGCGGCGGCCGCGGTGCCATCGCATCCCGCCAGCCGCCCTCATGGTCACCCGAGCGCGAGTCCGTGTATCCCTTCCGCCACTGGGTACACAGACTTGCTCGCTTGGAGCGTGCTAGCCACCGACATGAACAGCGCTCAACAATGCGTTGCCGTCGTCCTCAATATCGGTGCAGCCGCTCGCGAGCTCGTGCGCTCCATGAGCTTCGCGGAGATGACGGAGGGAGGCGTGGGCGACGGCCAAAAAGAGGACGCCATGATTAATCTCAGCATGAACCTGGGCACGCAGTCGGCCCACTAGGCGAGGAGTCGCGCCTTGGCACGACTGTGGATCTGCGATGTCGTGGGGGGGCTACAGCTGGCTGCTCCTCCGAGCGGTCGGTGTCGCAGGTAGCCAACTCATGGCGCTGCTCCGGCCATGCGGCAAGTGATGCCCAGTCGCTGAGGCCGAGTCCAACAGTCTCGCGACTATGCTCAGGCGCGTGTGTCATATCGTGGAGCACGCGCCAAACAACATCGCCAGCGCCTTTCGCGCGCCGCCGTCGTTCGGAGGAATCGTGGGCATGACCAATGACGAGAGCAACGATGCACATGGCCCCTGGCGCACTCAAGGTCTCGACCCTTGGGCTTCCAGCGCCGCGGTGCTTCCCGGGGCAGGCGGCGCCCTGGCGCGTGCTACCGGCCCGTCGCAGAGCGCCGCGCCGCCGCAGGTGGCGTGCCCTGCCGCCGCCGCGTCGGCGCTCGCGCGCGGGGCCGACTTGCGACGGCGGGGCCTCCTCTGACGCGGGCTCGGGCCCGGGCGGAGAGGTCGACTGCCGAGCTCCCGAACTCCAAGTTCTCAGCCCTGGCCGGGTGGGTGCTCATGTGTTCTGGCAGTTGAGAAGACTGCTAAACACCAGTGGCGCAGACGCACGCGACGTCCTACTCGCGAGGTGCGTGGTTTCATCGAGAAGACCAGCAGCACTTCCTCCAGAGGAAGGCGATGGCAGGGGCTCCCAGAAGTACGCATCTGTCATGGAGCTCAGATTCCCAAGTACATCAAGTTTTCTTCGGTGAAGAAGGACAAGGCAAAGGCGACCGCTCGCCAGGCAAAGGAAAAGCCGGCGTCGCAGTCCGCGAGGCTATGACGGGGCCGTCACGGCGCGCGGCATCTGTGGGGGCGGGTGCCACTGCAGTGCTGAGTGGCCGCAGGGCGCCGCGTCGCCACCCCGGGGCTGAGGCGGCTGCGGCGAGTTCGAATGTTGCGCAGACTCTGGGCCCATGGGCGGCCCCTGGAAACGTGCTTTCTTCTTGCGGGAATCTCGGGAGATGCCTTCGTGGTCGCCGAGGGCCCACTTCGGCCGCGGCCAAGCCGCAGAGCTGCGCCGGTGCAGCCATCCGCCGACGGCCCCTGGCTGATTCCTGGATCAGTCCGCAACTCGCGGTCAGCGGCCTCGCTCGCCGCGGTCCAGAGCCGCGCGCGCACCAACGCGCCGCTTGTCCTGCCGCCACCGCATATGTTCAACATCGCAGCGCCGACTTCGGGGCCGCCCCAACTTCCAGCGTTGCCGCCGTTCCCTGGTGCGGCCGCCGCCGCCGCGGGGCCGGTGGCAGCCGCCGACGGAGCTCGCCCCTCCGTCGACGCAACGCGGAGGACTGCAGCTCCATGGGGCTCCCGCGAGATGATCTTTGTCGACCAACAGTGCAGTGCAGCCCGCGCCACGCAGATCGCCATTCGACGACTGCTTGATACAGGGGACAATTTCGACCGACATGATTGCTGGTTGTGATTCGGGCGACCCCATCTTCCAAACATCACGTCGTGCAGGGTCTCAAGTCCGACAAGGCACTAGTGGTGGTCATGGCGACGTCTTGCCGCTGCGCTGGGCCGCCCAGGGGTCTCAACCTCCAGGTCAATCGCGAGGCCTGGCGGGCGCGCTGCACTGGGGATGCGCCGCGCCTCTCCTCTTGCGGGCAATTTGCGTTGGTGCAGATGCTCAGCGTTCGATATTTCCTTGTCGAACAACCGAAACCTACTTGGCTCGGTGCAGCGCCGCTGTGGGGACAGGTAGCTACGCGTCCCCGCGTTGGCGCGGTTGCGTTTGATCAATCAATTCTGCTTGCGAGGGGGTGAGAGGGCCGCGCGGTCTCCCGGCCGAGACGCCGTCCGTAGCTATCGCCAGCTCACCGCACCTGCTAACGCCCCTCAGGAACCTGAGGCGCAGCGGTCGCCACGACCGCGAGGTCAACTGGGGTCGCGGCCAACGCGCCGAGGCGCTCCAGGTCTGGCCGTGGCGCTTAGCTGAGCGCGTGGTGCAAGACGCCGTCGCTCTCGATGCCGCGATGGAAAGTCCCTTCGCGCTGATGGCAGGTTCCGCCCAGCTACAGGTGCCCGCGTCGGCCCAGCGGCTCTCCGGGAACTTGAACGCCTGGAAGAAGCCGACGCGCCGCCTGCGCCAGCGCCAGCACTGGCAAGTGCAGCCGCGCCTGCGCCA